TTTCTGACGAAGAGACAGAGCATGAGCGGGGAGGGGCAGAGAAGAGGGAGACACGAATCGGAAACAGGCCCAGGTGGGTTGAGCCATCAGCCCAGAGACCCTGACCTGGGGCTCAACTCACGGACGCCAGAGATCGCTGACCTGGCTGAAGTCGGACGTTCAACCGACTCGCCACCCAGCGCCCCTCAGGGTTTTTTAATTTTATTTTTTTATTAAAATTTACATCCAAACTTTACATAGGTAGTGCAACAATGATTTCAAGGGAGATTCCTTAGTGCTCCCCTATTTAGCCCATCCTCCCACAACCCCACCCCTCCAGCAACCTCAGTTTGTTCTCCATATTTATGAGTCTCTTCTGTTTTGTCTCCTCCCCTGTTTTTATATTATTTTTTGTTTCCCTTCCCTATATGTTCATCTTTGTTTTGTTTAACAAGTCCTCATATGAGTGAAGTCATATGATTTTTTGTCTTTCTCTGACTAATTTCACCTAGCATAATACCTTAGTTCCATCCACGTAGTTGCAAATGGCAAGATCCTGGCTCTTTTCTTTGATTACAGCAACCATTGTATATATATACCACATCTTCTTATCCATTCATCCATTGATGGACATTTGAGCTCCTTTCATCTTCTTGGCTATTAATGCTAATATGCTGCTATAAACATGGGGGTGCATTGTCTTCTCGGGCTGCAACAACTGTATCCCGTGGATAAATGCCTATCAGTGAATTCTTGGTCATAGGGTAGTTCTATTTTTAGTTTTTTGAGGAACCTCCATACTGTTTTCCAGAGTGGCTACACCAGCTTGCATCCCCATGGACGCGGCTTTATTCTTTTTGGGTAAACAGCTAGGGCTGGATTTGCTGCATCGTGGGAATGCATATATGTTCAACTGTTTAAGACCTCTCCAGCACATAAGGACAGCTATGGCATGGCTCCACTTTATCTACTGTACTTGGTCAAAGTCAGAGGGACAGAAAGTAGAATGGTAGCTACCAGGATCTGAGGCAAAGGAGCGAACGGGGAGTTAGTGTTTAAAGGGTACACAGTTTAGGGGCACCTGGGTGGCTCAGTTGGTTAAGCATCCGACTCTTGATTTCAGCTCAGGTCATGATCTCACAGTTTGTGAGTCGGAGCCCCACATTGGGCTCTGTGCTAACAGCACAGAGTCTGCTTGGGATTCTCTCTCTCTCTCTCTCTCTCTCTCTCTCTCTCTGCCCCTCCCCCACTCATGCTCCTTCTCTCTCAAAATGAATAAAATTTTAAAAACTTTAAAAGGTACACAGTTTCAGTTTGGGAAGATGACGACAAAGTTCAGGAGATGGATGGTTGCACAACACTGTGAACACACTTAATGCCACTGAACTGAGCACTTAAAAATGGTGACAAGGAGAAATTTATTGCTCTATATATTTTGCCTCAATTACAAAAGAAATCTCCAGATTTGCTTCTTTGAGAGCTGCTAAGAGAGTAGGCCTTAAAATTCTCATCACAAGAGGTGTGCCTGGGTGGCTCAGTCAGTTAAGTGTCTGAATTCTGCTCAGATCATGATCTTGTGGTTTGTGGGTTCAAGCCCCACATCAGGCTCAATGCTGTCAGCCTGTCAGGGCAGAGCCTGGAGCCTGCTTCGGATTCTGTGTCTCCCTCTCTCTCTGCCCCTCCCCAACTTGCACTCTGTCTCTCAAAAATAAATAAAAATGATTAAAAATTTAAATGTTAGAAAAATGTTTAATTAAAAAATAAAATACTATTAAAAATTTTTTAATAAAAAATGGACAAAGTCCTAAGGTAGAATTATACTATCCCAATGGCTCTTGGATATACATCGTTTCCCAGATAAGAATTTATAAATTGTGCTTCCCTTGCTAATTGTTTTATGGTTAGACTGTAAGTCCTTGGCATTTAAAGACGTTGCACATTCCACTGACTCTTTACAAGTTCCTCTGCTTAGAATCCAGGTAGTAGGTGCCATGAATCCAGGTGCCATGAGGTCTTGGTGGTTGCCCAGAGGCTCTGAACCATCAGCAGCAGCAGTGGGAAGGGACAGAACAAAGTGTGAACTCAGGAACAGAAGAAAGTTTAAAAACTCGAAGGCACACCTGGAACCAGCTGAGGCGGTAAAGGCAGATCCAGCGTCTGTGTGAGGGTTTGACCCTCTGAGGAGGAAGGTGAATCAGAGCACAAGACACCAGCAGGCTGTGGAGAAAGGGAGTCCCACGGCCAGGCCAAGCGTGTCTGTAAAAACCGTTACAGGACAAGGGAAACCAAATATGAGACCATATGTACCAAATATGAGACCGTAACATAACATAAAATGCAGACGGTGATGATATCATCATCTTTGCAATGGCAAAAGCACCGTTTGAAAGTGAGGGTCAAGAGCCTCAGCAGAAACTTAAGAAATAACAGAGTTGTATGAAGGAAACCTGAAACTTCCCAGGACCCGCTGCAGGGAGCAAATCCCCAGCCGTGGGGTGGGAGGGCTGGACACACAAGAAGCCAAAGGCCACGACGAATGGCAGGAGTGGGGCTGGCGGGGGGGGGGGGGGGGGGGGGGGGGGGGGGGGGGGGGGTGAAAACAAATCCAGATGATTTGCCCTGAGGGGGAAAAAAACTTCTGCTAATTGCTTGAACGCGGACACTGCCAAGAAAAAAGCGAAAAAGAAGAAATAACAGCTTTACGCAAGGAAATGCTCACCACGGACCCAAATTTAACCCAGGTAGATTTCTGACCCTTGAAGGAGCCGCATGCCCAGATGTTCCAAACTCAGCACTTGGCAGAGGCCCCAGAAGACCAAGGGATCCACCGCAGTTGAATGCTAACTTTCTGCAGTCCCTATGGTTCCAAGAGAGGGCGGGGTGCCTGGGGAGAGGCTGAGTTACCTGTGGTCACATGGCCAGCTCCGGGCAGGGCCCTCCTACCCCCCACCCCACCCCGCCCTCCTCAGGTGATTTCTGTTAGAACATCAGCCCTTTGGAGGCAACCTTGACCCAGGGAGGATTCTGCAGTGTTTTACAGATCTAGACGCCCCAGCAACTACACTCTGAGCGCTGCTGTGTTAGCAGAGACTTCAGGAATGACACAAAGAAACCTGTGGGAAGGTCCTGTGTGGGGCAGCACGTCCTGCCCCGGCCTGTGGCATCCGTGCTCAAGGTGGATGAGCCCACAGGTGAGCCCTGTGCTCAGAGGTCAGGGGAGCGGTTGCTCTGATGAGTTGCATGGGACCCTGACTCTGAGACAGCGAGGGTCCCCACATTCTCCAGATGCCTTCAAGTGACAACTCTGAGAAATCTGCCTGCCCGGAAGTGTGGCCACCTGTGGCTTGCCCTGCTGTTTCTTGTTGACCCTTGGTCTCTTCTGGATATCGGGGATGCTGTCGTGTTTACTCCAAAGCAAAACAACCGGAAGGACGTGGTCATGATAACAGTACAATGCTCCAGGCTGGGCTCCTCCATCCAAAGAAAAAACTTATCTGAGACAAGGGATTAGAGCTGCCACCTGAGTCAGCCTTCGTGGGGAGGGTGGGTCTGTCCCCAGCCCCCTGAGCACATCTGAGGCACCTCTGTTCCTTCTCTGAGTGAGCCGGACCTCTGTGGCTTTCACGCGCTCCATTATCTCTGGGGCCTCAGTTTCCCCATCAGGTAAGGGCCACACAGTGGATCCCCTCACTGCTCCACGGGCAGGGGCACACAGACTGGGCCACCTGAGCAGCAGTACCACCAAGTGGAACAGTCCCGGTGTTGGAGCTGCACATGCAGACAGCAGGTGCCTGCGGGAGGCCTCAGGGCTGGGTCCACATTCTGGCAAACTCTTCTGCAGCTCCAGGGGTGCCGGAACCCGGTCACTGCCAAACGTGAGTGGGAAAGACTTGCCCCCTCCTCCTCCAGGCTTGGCCAGAAGCAGGTGGGAGGAAAGCACCCGCCCTGCCCAGCCCAGCAAGTGACACGCACGGCGGTTCCTCTTTGTGCCGCCTGACCTGGGTTGTAAATACAGCCCATTAAGGCAATAAAAGAGTTAGTTCCAAAGTTTATCCCCTCGGATGCCAGTCTTCGGAGGGAGTTGTCCTTACAGGATGTTGCTGATTTGGGGGAATCTGGTTAAGGACAAAAACAATGTTCTAGACATAAATGAACAACACAAAAACATTTGTGCACAGAAACTGGCTTGCCTGACCCTCCCCTTTTTGTGTGCTGTGTCCAAGCTTCATTGCTTAAAAAAAAAAAAAAAAAAAAAAAGGTGTTTAATAATTACCTTCGTTGACCTCTGTACCTTCTGGCTTCCTCCACTCCTGGGCACAAGACATGGCCATTCCTAGGGCGCGACAGTGCAGACACAGCCGCCAGCCTCGCTGGGCGGCTCCTGGACTCTGCGAGGTCAGGAAGGTAAGGCCCGAAGGGCGATGGGAAGGTTCCCTACTCTCCTGGCCAGAGGCTGAGAGGGACTTTATTTGGAGAAAGGGGACAGGAAATGACTGCCAGCTAGTGAGCCTCGAGCCGAATCTCCTCAGCATTCCATGCCCGGTCTCACTCAATGAAAAGCATCCCCTTGGCCTGCCCCAGGCGCCTCTACTCTTGGGCAACAACTACGAGGAAAGCGGTCATTCCTCGCCATTGATGCCACTGAGTGTATTCCAGTATGTTCTAAAATACTTCTTTTTACTTTTGGAAAAAAGAAGCTGGAGGTGGAATGACTTTTGAGTGCATCTTTGCTGACGAGCAGGAGCTGGCCGGTGGGGGCGGGGGGCCTTGGAAAAGAGCCCGGGACCCCCCTTCCCCGCAGCGTCAACAGCAGTCGGGGTGGGGTGTTAACCCTGGGACCGAGCAAGTCTACCCTAAAACAGTAGCTACTCATCTGCTTTGGGAGTCAGGCCCCACGGGCCCGGAGGGCTGCGAAGGACGGCCCTCGCTGAGCCCGTGTCTGCATCCTGTCCACTACAGCATCTGCTGAGTCGAGGCCCATGCCCTCCTTCCAGCTGTCCTAGAACTGGCAGGAGGGGAACATGGAGGGGACAAGCCTGAGGAATCGGAGAGAAGATGAGAAGTCCATCCGGAGTATCCAGAGTAAGGAACCCAAGACCACGAGTCTCCAGAAGGAGGTAAGCTTGGTCCCTGGGCACCGGCCCTTCCCAGGTCAAGGACAGCAAGAAGGGGCCCCGGTAAAGTCCCTGCTGATCCGCGTTGTAAAGCACATCTCTAAGTGGGCAGTTCTCTGGACGTACCTCTCTCCCTCTGGCCGGTGAACTTAGCGTTTTTTTGCGAGGTTAACGCATGTGCTTCTGTGTACCTGGCGAGTACCTGGAGGGGCTGGTGTTTGCCCAGACCGATGGCCTCAGGGTGGGGGGGGGGTGGTCAGACAGGACCTTCTGATGTTGGGATCCCCTCTATAGTGTCTTTACCAAGAATCTGCCCCTTGTGTGTCCCTCGTATTCCTTCAGTGATGGGAAACTCATTCCGCTTTAGTGAGTCTAGCAGGGATGGTGAGTGTGACGTGGGTCTGACATGGATGAGCCCTCTGAGACGGAATGTATGTAGTAATGGCTGGAATCGGAGGTGCCTGCGCCCTAGAGGGGGTCAGTGTCACATGGGGCTGGCAATTGAGCTGCAGGGAAGGGGAGCTTTGTGGGGAGGGGGGAGTGGAGACAGAACGGAGCTCGATGCAGGTGGATGGGTGTGGAAGGACAGCTTCAAACTCACAGGATGAGGAAGGAGAGTTCCAGAACAAGATCAGAATGGCTTTGAGGGCCCAACTAGTGGCCTGAGCTCTGGGCGGAGCCTCCAAGAGCTCCCATGCCTGATGGCAGAGGGGATGGAGGAGGGATTTGGGGGACAGCACCACTTGACTGTGGGTTGGCCTGGGAGCTGGGGTCCCTAGGAGTGGCTAATGCATGTTCCTGCCCACCGAACAGCACGGAACTAACTCCAGGTGGTCCTCAAGTCATTCCTAAACTCAGGCAGCTTTGGGGTGAACGCTGAGGGCCTCTGGGCTGGTCAGCCACATGGGCCATTAGAGGAGAAAAGCCGAGACCAACCCGCTAGTGCACCCCGGCCCCGAGGCCAGCACAGGAGCTGACCCTGCTCCCGGGCCCCTCCCCAATTGCGTGTGACCCTTGCTGGCAAACCGCGGCCGGGGGCTTCCGCGTTCACTGGACTCAACCCGCGTAATTCCGTACGTGATGTGCAGATCTTCAGTGTTCAGTCTGATGGGTGTTGACAAACTCCTCACCCTAGAAAGCTCCCTCTTGTCCCTTTCCAGGTGGACTCCCCACCCCAGCCCTGAGTTTCTATTCCCATAGGTTAGTTTTGCCTGTTCTTAAATTTCATAGGAATAGGATTCCACGGGACGTGTCCGAAGCGGGGCTTGTCGCTAGGAAGCTCATACCCTGCAAAACAGCATCAGAGAAAGTTCACAGCCCCCAGATGTTTCTGCGCCTAGAGGCCTGGGTTTCTCCCACCTGTCCCCACCTGTGCTCCCGAGAGGCCAGGGCCCCTGGTCAGGACACCCAGCCCTGATTTCACTGTTTGCTAAATCAGCCTTCACCGTCTGGGCCGCTTTGTCAATAAGAGTAGAGGTTGGGAGACTGGAACCTGAGCCGGGTCTACCCACTCTGGCTGTATATCCCTGGACAGTCACGTGACCTTTCTGTGCCTCTATTTTCTCCTCTGTCAAATGGGGTCATGAGGCCGTGGTGAGGATGCATGGACCTGATGTAAGTGAAGCCTGGTGTTTTGCTGCAACAGCACAGGCCAGAAGCGCCTTCACCTGGGCTGCGCCGGCTGCACTGAGGGAGGGGACGGGGGAGAGGGCTGAGGGCTGCTGTCTCGGGCCGCGTGGCGTCCTGGGTGGTGGCACTAATGCTCCCCCTCCCCCACATCCAAGGTGGGCCTGCTCAGCGGCATCTGCATCATCGTGGGCACCATCATCGGCTCTGGGATCTTCATCTCCCCCAAGTCTGTGCTCAGCAACACGGAAACCGTGGGGCCCTGTCTCATCATATGGGCGGCCTGTGGGGTCCTCGCAACACTGGGTAACAAAGACGCCCCTCCCTGGCGAGCTCTCCCTGTGGAAGGTGGGCGCGGGCTGTGTGAGCACAATCTGTGTCCTGGCCTTGCTGTTGCCAGGGGTTCCTTTCGACGCCCGCGGGCAACCAGGTGTAAATTGGGCTGCTCTGGAATGAGCAATGGCCAGAACTCAGGGTGGTCTGCGGAGAGGGCCATGGTGGCCCGCGTGGGCGTGGCCCAGAGGGAGGGGGTGACCAGGGCCACTCCTCACCAGGGGCCTGAGGGGACCCCCTCTCTGTGTTCCAGGTGCCCTGTGCTTTGCAGAGCTTGGCACGATGATCACCAAGTCAGGGGGCGAGTACCCTTACCTGATGGAGGCCTTCGGGCCCATCCCTGCCTACCTCTTCTCCTGGACCAGTCTGTTCGTCATAAAGCCCACATCCTTTGCCATCATCTGCCTCAGCTTTTCGGAGTACGTCTGTGCGCCCTTCTATTCGGGCTGCAATCCCCCTCCGGTTGTCGTGAAATGCCTGGCTGCCGCTGCCATCTGTGAGTACCCGAGTGTGATGCTCCGGGCTAGGGTCAGGAAAGACCCGGCACAGGGGACGTGGGGAGGCAGGCCTTGGCTCCACCATGCCCAGAAGAAGGCCGGTGGGCCTGGAGGCACTGGCGAGAAGCAGGGCAGGGTCTGGTGGGGGCCCAAAGCCCTGGCGGTGGGCGATCGTCCCTCAAGGCAGCACTCACCTGGGGACTGGCTGCTTCTCCATGTCGTGGGACTCAGGGGTCCTCGCCGGGCACACCTGATGAATGAGGCAGTGGAGAGGACAGGATCGGGGGCAGGAGACCCTCTCAGGCCCCCGGGAAAGGAGGGAGGTGTTGAGTCCAGGGACGCACGACATCGCCCCCACTCTGGCCCCTTCCAGTGCTCATCACCACGGTGAACTCGCTGAGCGTGCGGCTGGGGAGCTACGTCCAGAACGTGTTCACGGGGGCCAAGCTGGTGATCGTGGCCATCATCATCATCAGCGGGCTGGTCCTCCTGGCCCAAGGTGACCGGCGGCTGGAGGGGAGGGTGGGTGCCACTCGGAGGTTGTGCTCTGAGGCCTGTGTCTCAGAAAGCCTGGCAGGAGTTCAGCAGGAAGTATCTGTGGTTTCTCTGCTTTTCAGAGTCTGTCTGATAACCTGAGGCCACAATTCCTGTCCTTCTGTCCCACGGAGATGAGGCAGGATCCCAGTGTGGTCCTCTGACACCCACAATCCACTGTCTGACTTAATTACAGGGAACACAAGGAATTTTGAGAATTCTTTTGAGGGCACAAAACTGTCTGTGGGAGCCATCAGTCTGGCATTTTATAATGGACTCTGGGCGTACGATGGATGGTAAGGTGCCCCCCATCTGGTTGGGATTTCTCAGGTACGATGCTGAAACCAAGGAAGGCAAGGACCTCCCCTTCCTCGGGCTTGCGGGGGGGACCCTAAAGTTCACCTCCACGTCTCCATTTGGTTCAGCACCCACCCCCCCCCTCCGCTTCTGTTCTCCTCGGACCCCACAGACGCTGAAACCCCGAACCCTTTCCCAGCCCCGCAGCAGGCCTGAGCTAGAAGCTTCACTGGACACAGACAGGCTCAGCCGAGTTGGAGGCCGTCAGAGCTGCCCAGGCACTCGATGAGGCACCAGTTCTCAGAGGCACTTCCGTTGCACCCTGGGAAATGCTAGGTGTCGTCGACGAGATTCCGTTTATGTTCCGTGAGGAAGAAGCGTGGCCCCCCAGGACGCTGCTCCTTCCCTCGTGCAAAGCAGATTTCATTCTCCTTCCAGACAGTGACACTAACAGTTTTTCAAAGCAGCCTGGGGACTCGTGCCTCCCCAGTACTTCTTGAAAACTTCCATGATCCCCACAGAGGGCAAAGACTTATCACTAACAGACGTGCAGACATTGGGAGCCCCACCGTCGTGGGGCTTTCTCCAAATGACATTACCCTGGATTCCTGCAGGAGAATTTTCTCTGTGGTGGAGGGTCTTCAATGAGGCCAACCTTTACTTTGTGTTTCACAACCTTAGCAAAGAAAGGTGAAGTTATGTTACTTGTGTGCCTTTTCTTTCTCTAGGAATCAACTCAATTACATCACGGAAGAACTTAGAAACCCTTTCAGGTAGGAGAACTGAGTCAGGCGGGAGACGGTGGGCCAGCAAGCACGTTTCCCTTCCCCAAGCACCAAGTGGACCCCCTTCCATACTGCGAATTGTTCCTTATAAGCTCATGTATATCCGCTCATCAGAGCTCGGTTTTGCTGTGGGAAAGTGGAATCGTAGCAGAGAGGATGAATGAACCCCAACTTTATCCTGGGCTTATTTTGCTTTATGAACAGTTTGACCTCCCCAGCCTGGAGTCTGAGAGTGGGAGGGTTCTTTCTCATTTGAAAATGTCACGTCCCACAGCCGCTGCTTGTGGGTGGGCCTCCGGAGGCAGCAGTGACCCCAGCCCACTGCAGGGAGAAGTGGATGGCCAGCTGGGTGGGTGGGAAGAAAGGACTGGACACAGACAACAGTCTTGTGAGGCTGTCACGGGATGCTCCGTCTGACCCTGGGTCCCTGCCCCTCGCCCCGCCCCCCCAGAAACCTGCCCTTGGCCATCATCATCGGGATCCCACTGGTGACAGGCTGCTACATCCTCATGAACGTTTCCTACTTCACCGTGATGACTCCTACCGAGCTCCTGCAGTCCCAGGCGGTGGCCGTGGTGAGGACCCGGAATCTGTGGGGAGGGTGCTAGGGTCTGTGGGAAGCTGAGATACCCGCTCGAGATGAGGGAAATAATCGTCTAGGACATGGGCGGAGGGAGGGATAGCTGTTAGGGACAGCAGCAAAGACCCAATGCCATGGAAGGCCGCGGGCAGGTGGAAGCTTCTGTCTGTGACCTGGGCACACGCACTGAGGGCGGGTGGAGCAGGGCCGGATTTCCCCGGGGTTGGGGTTTTGACAGACACACATGTGTGTGAGAAAGCGCAAGGGAGGGACGGAAGGAGGGAATCAGAACAACAGACTGCAAGTTAAGCTGGTCAAGGAGGGTCTCGATGACAAGGGGGATGGTGTGAAGGTCCGCAGAAAAGGTGGGGAGGGCCCCACATGCTTGAGGCCTTGTGGAGCTGGGGTGGGACAGGAAATGAACTGGAAACAGGAGACAGGGAGCAGACGCCATCTTGGTTATGATGAGGTCACTGACCACCAGGACAGGTGGCTGAGGTGCAGGGAGAACAGGGTCGTGCTGAGCAAGGTGGTCAATTCCTTGACCCCTTGACTTTGGTGAGGGGCCACGGTGTTGGAAGGAAACTGGGACAAAGAATTAGGACAGGGAGGAGTGGAGAGGAGACTTCTGTTACTCAGTGTTAGACGGTGGGGGACAGTAAAGCATCCCAAAACAAAGAGCTGACTCCATACAGTTTACACAGCATTCTATTCAGGATAACTTCCTGACAGGGGAATCCGGCAGAGGTTGATCAAGGCTCTGCGCAGTTATTCTCTGCAAAGTCTGGGCCTTGGTCCACAGATTTGATAGAGCGAGGGGATGCACAGAAGGGCACTGGAGTGAGATCAAAGGGCTAGCATGCACCCAGTTGCCAGCCAACCTTTCATGACAACCTTGTGGCACCACCTGTGCACCAGGAAGGGGAAAGACCGTGTTCTAACAGAGTCCTGGGAGGGCAAAACAAGTCTCCTCCCCTCCCAACCTTGGCAGGCATTTCTAAGGGATGTAGGTTACCGGGAACGCGTAGCCCCGGAGATCACCCAGAAAACATGAACACGACGGACAGAGGGCCAAGGTTGGAGTATCATCAGCTCCGCTACAGTTCAGGAGGTGGGGGTGGGGAAGAATAAGTCGTTTTCTTCTGGAGAGGTTCTCTACTTTCTCCTCTCCCAGAGGGATTCAGAGCCAGTGCCCACCCAGGGGTGGGGGCCTGGGCCCCCCCCGGGGACAGCCCAGCAGCTTCCTTGGGACCCATGGCTCCTAGGGGCTGTGCGAGACCTCAGGACTCCTCTGCTTCTCTCTACAGACGTTCGGCGACCGCGTTCTCTACCCGGCCTCTTGGGTGGTTCCGCTGTTCGTGGCCTTTTCCACCATCGGTGCCGCCAACGGGACTTGCTTTACGGCAGGCAGGTAGGGGACCCCAGCACTCACCCTGGGGCGGTGGGGGGGGGGGGT